TCAATATGAATTACTGAAAAATGAAGTGAAGAGTTGTATTACATTTTTGAGTATATGTGTCTAGCACATTTTGCATGTTAACACATTTCAAATTGATAAAGTTTGGAAATTTTATTGATAAATAAAAGATGGAATATTTTTTTCATGTATGCAAAATTTAAATGATCAAGATGACAACGACTCAACATGACTTGAATTTTAACAGAAATTACATTGACAAAAATAAACTAGACTCAAACATACAACTTGAAAGATGGCATTGCTATCGATTAAGTTATTTTTCTTGAGTTCGTTGATAGAGTAAGTTGTAGTTTAATTTTGGAACATAAAGAAAAGAATAGAGATGAAGATCCATTGTCGATTTGACCAATCCAGTTCTTGCTACTGATGAAAATGAACCAACAGCTATTCAAGCTGCATGACTGGTACATGAGTTATAATATTTAAAAACATTGATGTCTCTCGTCATATGAATTGAGGCTTAAGAGTCAACTATTTAAGTTTTAAGCTATTAATTTATTTACTTTGGACACTAAAGGAATGAGTGTGCTAACAAACTGATAGGTTGCCCGATAGAAGATTGTGATACTTGTCCAAAATTAGAAATATTACTAAATATTTTTTGAAGTTCCTCAAATTGCTCCATGGTGAACGGGCTAAATTTTGAATTGTTATTGGTTGTGACAACATTTACACAATTCTCCCTATCGTATCTCTTTTTAGATAACTTCCAATCTTGTAGGTTTATTATGTAATTTCCAACATTTTTTTTTCACATGACCAAATTTCTTTTAGTAAACACAGCACAACCTTCCTTTCTTGGAATTGTTGTTCCGAGTGAAACTTTGAGTGCACAAGGCTGATCCTTCAACAGATGGTGTGGTGTGATGGTCTGTCATAATTAACTTCTTCTGCTCTCCTCCCCTCAAAGGTCTAAAAAAACCTCTTTAATGGTAGAGATGGGTTTAATTCTCATGATTCTCCTCTGACTCTTTATTGAATCCAAAGAGAAATTCAATTGTCCTTTTTTTGTTAAGTAATTCTTATATACAAGGCAAAGTCGTTAGGACATTTTTAAGCATAAACCTCATACATGTAATATCGGTTAAATAAATAATAATAATAATAATAATAATAACAATAAACAAATCAATAGTGAAGGATAAGTGATTCTATGATTTTGTCTTTTAGGAGTCGCAAGCCTCACTCAAACCAAATGGTCGAAGAGACATGAGATAAAGAGCAAGAGTGAGAGAAGGAAGAATCATGAGTAGCCCTAGCGCGCATGGAGGGGGAGTGTTAGACCTTGTTCGACATCGCATTCAAGCGAGAGAAGGTAAGACGCCACAAGCCTTTGTGCAATGAGAGGAAGAGGAAGAAGGAAAAGAACAAGGTGGCTCTTCATGTTGAAGCCAAAGGTCAAATTGCGCCTTCTTTGTGCAAGAGAAGAGGCGAGAGGAGGAAGAAGGGAGGTGTGCCACTTTCAAGAGGTGAGAGCTTCTCGTGTGAAGGAAACAAAGAGAGAAAAAGAGAGCTCGTACGCTTGCGGATAAGAGCAGTCAACCAAGCTTTTGAGTTGAGGGTTAATAATTTTATTTTGAAATTTGATATTGAATTAAGATGAGTTAATTTTTGTTTAAGAAATAATAATCGGAAATTTGAAAGTATAAAAAGCACAGAATAATTGGATTGGATTGAGGAATGTTGGCAATATTGGAGAGGGTTTGATGTTTTATTTAAGTTATTTTAGTTCACTAATTAAATGTTAATAAATTATATTAAATTCAATGAATTAATCATAGTGATTATAATATGTTAAACAGTTCAATTAAATGATTAGGGGTATTAAAATCATTGTTTGTGCAAAAGAAAAGGGGATAAGGAAATCAGACTCAATTTTACTTTTATTAAGATTGTTAAAAGAAAAATTTTTATTTTGCAGTATTTAATTATGATGAAATGAAAAACATGATCTATAGACAAAACAATAAGTTAAAGAATTTGAAAAAAATCATTTCAAATTCACTAATTTTATATTGAATTAAGATGAATTAATTTTTGTTTAAGAAATAATACTCGAAAGTATAAAAAGCACAGAATAATTAGATTGGATTGAGGAATGTTGGCAATAGTGGACAGGGTTTGGTGTTTTATTTAAGTTATTTTAGTTCACTAATTAAATGTTAATAAATTATATTAAATTTTATGAATTAATCATAGTGATTATAATATGTTAAGAAGTTCAAATAAATGATTAGGGAGATTAAGATCATTGTTTGTGCAAAAGAAAAGGGGATAAGGAAATGAAACCCAATTTTACTTTTATTAATATTGTTAAAAGAAAAAAATTTATTTAGCAGTATTTAATTATGATGAAATGCAAAACATGATTTATAGACAAAACAACAAGATAAAGAATTTGAAAAGCATCATTTCATAAGTGAGGTTGTTCAAGGCAAAGGTAGGTCATTGCTTTCTTATTTGTATTAAATTGACGATTTCTTTAAAAATGACATGCGTTATTGGATTTAAAATTCATGCTTTCCTTATTATATGCATATTGAAAGTTGAGGGATTTTTGACATGACAATAAATGAAATGGGAAAGGGTAATTGGTTGTTCAATGATTTTAAATGAAATAACAAAAAAAGAAATAAAATATAAAAAATTAAATCAATCAAGCTTTACCCTCTTATGATACTAGTTGAGGGCACAATTGTACCCATGCATGAAAAAAAAATAAAAATGACAAACGTGCACATTTTGGTGCAAAATTTTGAGGGTACCCACAAGTACAATTTTTTTAGAATAATTTTGGGCATGACGATAATCCTAATTTGATTTCTTAAAAAGGCAAATACTTAAACTGAAACATGAAGGGTTAACTTAAAATGAAAGCTTACAGTTTGATTAATTAATGAATCACATTTCTTTAGATATTCATGTATAGTATTTGCATATTAATTTAATGCATAATAAGATTGTAATTGCTTGCTGAGTTGTGGCAAATTTAATGTTGAAATTAATATTTCTTTCAAACAAAATTCTAGATTGATATGCCTGATATGAGAGTTGATTTACACAAATTCTAGTTTCTTATACTGTTTATTTTCGAGAAATATTGCACTGTTGGTTGGATTGTGATATTGTTTTAATTTCAAACAATGTTGTTGCTTTGGTTGAATTTGATTTCTGTTTAGTGTAGTTTGTAGTATTTTATTGACTCTTTTTATTATTAGAAGCTATGATTGTTTCTTGTATAAAATAAAAGAAAGGTTAATATAGTCCGACCGCAGTTCCATACTTAGTTAATTCTAAGCTATCAAGCTGTGTCGTCAAAATACATGTCCAATTGCAGCCAACAGTTGTGAAAGTGTTGAAATATCAAGTAACCCAATTATCTGTCGTTGATCAGGTGGTTTGATCTCAATCTCAAATAACCCTGAGGAGTTTTCAACGTTAGAAAAGGTTTCACGTGCAATTTCTCATATCTCTCTAATTGTCCTATAGATTATAAGATTTTCTTTACTTGTGTGTTCATGGAATTTAATAATCATGACATAAACATGTGATCGTCAATTTTCTAGTCCCGATATGTGAAATCTGTCAATTATGGAGCCTAAATTTTTCTTATGAAATGTCCATCTTTCACTCTGCCACTGATGTACATTAAGACGGATAGTGACTATTGAAGAAAATTATGTTCATGTAGTTGATGATTCATGACTAGATAAGAGGAGTTATCAGGTACGAAAGGAACTGAAAATGTAAGCTCAAATCTTAATGACTTCCGAGGAAGAAGATTGTGAGGCCATGATGTGTTTGATCATGATTAGATTGAAGTCCGAATCGAGAAAACCTACTGCTTGAAGGAAAGCAAGGAGAACCTTTAGTTCAACTGCTTGGCTAGATGAGCAAATAGGAACTAGAGGTAGGTGTGATGTTTGGCACTAAGCGAGAGGTGATCGGATCAGTTTCAAGTCGGCGATCTGTGAGATGTCAGCTAGAGCAAGCCAAGCCGATGATAGAAGCCTAATCGTTCATTGAATTAGCCAACGGTGGCAAACTAGAGAGGGAATAGTTTTGTGATTTGCTCGGTTTTGAATCAACAGAAATTGTTATGTTTGAGCAGTACAAACAAATCAACAGGACAAAGAGTTCTATTCAAGTAGAAGTGCTACAAGTCGAGCCCTAAGATCTTGTCCATGAGGAGACGAAGTAGCGATCTCAAGCAAAAGAGCTAAAGACGAAGCAACGACCTCAAGCGTATGAGAGGTGAGGACTCGTGGGTACTTGAGCGTCGAAATATAACATTGCACGACAATGTCGAAAATTTCTATGGATCCTTCATCATCGACGTTGATGCTGAAGCAAGTTTCGTAGCTTTGCGGATGGAGCAGTCGCTGAACAGGATACCACGGCAGATGATGTTTGCGCTCAATCGATAGAACAATGATCCCTGATCTCTCAGATAGGAGAAGAGCCTAGCTCTAATACCATGTAGAATTCTGGAAAGGAATTTTTATTTTTAGCTCCTTAATGCATTACACCTTACAGTATATATAATAGTATTGTCGGCACAAAATAAGAAATTGAAACCCTTTTAAATTAGGAATCCAACTAAATAAGATAACATAAAAATAGGAAACACAATTAATGACATATAATCTGAAGAAGGAAATAAATTCCTTCACAATCAAGCATGCAAGTGGACGCTTAGTTACAAGAATGAATTCTAATTGGTTTCTTAATTTATTATAATTTTACACTATTCTTCTGACTTGGATGTCAAAAATCCCCCCAAAAAAGAATGCAATGCACTCTTTTTGTTGCTGGCCAATTAAGCCCCACAACGATAAATCCAACACAAAAGGACGAAGCAAAGATGAAATTGGAAATAGGATGTTGCAATCATTCACCAACTAGATGAAAACATATAACATAAAAATGCATGATATAATAATGCCACAAATACATTGAAATTTTTAGCCCAACCATACCTGATAGATTCCAAGGATCTTGGCCAAGCAAGTTGGACTTCCTGTAGCAATTGACTCTGAAAGATACTTGAAGTACTCTGGAGCAAATTTGATAAACGATTCCAGCTCTGTTTTTGTGACCTGCTTTACAATAAACCTATCATCCAAGGATTTAGCAAAAAAGACATTGCTCTTGCCACCTTGTGCTCCCCACTTCTTGCAACGGCTGAGTGATCTTATGAAATCAAGTTCAGATGGGCAGCAAATTCTTCTCAAACTATCAAAATGTTTTGCATAGTAACAGGTTACGGTGTATTTTACTTTACCAAGAGATCCATCATCTGAAAAACAAACTCTTGCATGCAATGATTTACTAAATGCCAGTGGATCACCAACCAATGAGTTTCTGCTTGCAGTTTTGGTCAAAGTATGAACTTCAGGCGTTTTGATTACTTCAGAGGAAGCATCATCAACTGACTTTATAGGTTGGACATTTCCATCAAAAAATGACAAATGAGCTGAAGAATCTGTTCCATCCTTTGTTTTCTCGCAGGCATCAGATATCTGAAAATGGTAATCAGTTGAAGCAAGTGCATATGAAATGATACTGGTTGGTTCATCATCATAAATTGGAATAACAGTGCCATTGGCTCCATTAGGAAGAAGCAACCGAGCTCCACACTGATGTTCCAATTCCCTAAAAGAAGAAACATGAACAGGACTGTAATCACGAAGGGCATCAAATTTTCCCAAATTCTTATTCATCAGATTATAGAAATTCAAAAATGGCAATTTAATCCAGTTTGAGAGATCTCTTGAATTTCTTTCAAGCCTGAAGCTGTTCGTAAATTCAGTGGACTGTATTTCATCAGTTCCTATCTGTTCTTCTGAACTGTCAAGGGTTGCGACTGAAGATGCCACTCCAACTGAACTAGATAAGTCTATCAGACTACTTTCAGAAAGTTTAGACCTAATTTCAGAAAAATGAGACCTATCTTCACCAGTCCATTTTTTGTGTAAGCTTCCAGACAAATCGTTCATAGCAGAAAGGTGACCATCAGAAAGAATCCTATGGACAAGAACACCCGATTCAGGAGGATCTAATTTGTTATTTGATATAATACTTAGTGGAGGAAGGATTTTGCACTCTTTACTATGAATAGAGCCATGATCGATTTTTTTTAATTGATGATTTGAATCAGTTTGTCCCGTATTCTCAAGAGATCCTTCATTATGGTCGAGCAAATTTATAGCCCCCTTAACAGAATCATATTTTACAGAATCTAAACTATTCGAACCTCTAAATAGTTTAGGAGCTATATTTAAATCAACAAGCATTCCAATAGAACTAATCTTTTCCTTGCTCTTTGTCATGCCACTAAGCACTTCATGATTGTTTTTATCTGAGCCAGAAGCAAATAAGAGACGCTGATCCCACAGAAATGCCAGGAAAAGCAGTTGCTTTCTAAGCTTATTTATCTCAAGAATATCCATCTCTGGCTCCCCCTTTCTCACCCCACTTTTTACTACTTTATGAAAATATTTCTGGAGAAGAAAAGTTATAAACTAAATGAGAAGTGGCTAGTAAAGTGGAAGGAAGGTGGTGGTGGTGTTTATGATGATGATGAGGCCAACAAAGTTGAAAGGAGATGGAACATTTGCTCACTGACCTCAAATTCTTCCTTCTCCTTATTCAGCATTTCTTCAAAATCAACTATACTGCATCTACGGTCTGTATCATTACCCAGAAGAGGCTCTTTGTTTGGCTTCCTCTCTGCAAATTGACAAAGTGTGTTGAGTGCCTCACGGAATAAAAGTTCAGCCTTATCAGCAACCTGTAATCAGAGTAACATCAAAAGCTTCATTTAACAATTGAAAGAATCCAGAAAAATCATCACAAAATACTATACTCTTTAATCATCTAACATCATCTGCTTCTTTTTTAACCCAATCCTGGTGCTGGAAGCCGAAATCTAATTTTGGAGGCGGCAGGAAAACAGAATGAAGATGGATTGGTGCATAACGGAAGCAAGCAACCATCCTTCCAAATCTGCTAAACATTAGAGAGACTCAGAGGGGAACCCAGCAGAACAAGGCACAAATATATGAGTGACTGCTGAAACCAAAAAAAAAAAAAAAAAAGGCACAAACGATGTACCCATAGAAGCGCAAGCAATCCCTGTGTAATGAATGACCGCAGCTTGCGACTCTACTAGCAGCAGCATGATTTGAGAAGCTCAATTCTAAAAACTTCCCAAAAGACAAGCCCCAAGCAGCGTCAGACATCACAACTCTTTTAGTAGTAGGAGGAAATCCACCAATTCGAGGGCAGCACAGGCACCTGTGCCACATCCAAATTTTTCCATCACGCTCACCAGGGAGAAGGAACCCTGAAAGCTTTCTAACAGATATCGTCAAACTTCCTTGACGATGAGTATAGCAATGCACATGAGCATCCGATGGCATCGCACAAAAATGACATCGGTAACCCTGTCAGAAGCATAGTTAGTCAATCCTTCCAAGTTAGGGAAAATATTTATCAAATATAAGAAGAGAAGACTAACCTGGTCAAACAGATGATCCCTTAAAAATCTTCCTAAAGGTTTGTCAAAGGTGCCATAGTACTTGATTCGAAATAAATGTGCACGTTCACAAACAGTGCCCTTCCAAACACATCTGGAAGTCAGTGAAACCAAAATGCTCTGGTGGTCCGAGGAAGGAGAAAAATCTTCCTTTGATAATGCTTGCTCATCACCATCACTTCTATCTAGATGTGGAGTTGCCAAGTTGTTAGCACCTGGTTGTTCTCCAAAAAGTTTTCTTGGATCTTCTTGTGTATCATTAGAAGTAATTTTGCATTTCTCCAAATTTTCAGCATTATTATGACTGCTGATTTTGGAAACAAGATCACAGTGCATAATCTCCATATTTTTTCTTAATTTCGTAGCGTCAAAATGATCAACCAAGCCCAATTTGCTTTCCTGTATCGCACCCCAAGGTTGACAACTAATATTCTGAAGTTCTGATAATATGCATGTTGGTGATGAGTCAACAGCCATTGCTTTTTTTCTTTCTGCGAACTGTTCAACCTGACCACTCCTTTCTAAAGAATGACCACCCATATCCACTGATGAATGGATAAGATTAGAAGCAACCTGAACATATCCCGGTATTGTAGAGATAGATTTATTTGTATTGGATGGTTTATCAGGCAGTGCAACAGTTATAGGGGATTTCAAAGGAAGCTCTGGTAAAGAAGCACCTTCATCAGCTAAAAATGATGTTTCAAGAGCCAAATGATAGGCTGCAAAAACTCCATATTGGACAACGTGTTTAACTTTCTTCAATTCATCCCCATTCGCACCTTTGAGCAGAACCTGATACAAGACAATAAGAAAATAATAATAGCACGCATCAAACGGTATGACAGTAGACAATATTTCCTTAAACAAGATATCGAACCAATGTTTTGGATCAATCATACTAAGTGATATGAAGCATAAGGGTAGCAATTACATAATTTTTATAAGGGTAGCAATCACTTGGAAAGTATTAAAACTGAAACTCTGATACCATGTGGACTAAAATCAAACTTCAAATAGCGGCTAAAATTTAACAACATGACACTAAATTAGCTCTCTGCAACTTTTAATGATATGTTTGAAGTAGGCTAATCCATCCTGCAAACTCGAGCAAGATAGAATTGTTATGTGAAAATAATGCAGAAGCAGAGAAAATTCAAACACAAAAGGTTTACGTGGTTCAGTATTAAATCGATTCACCTATGTCTACGGGGAGGGAGATTTCACTAGCATCGGATGGTGAGAAAAAAAGACAGCTTGGGTTACAACTTAACACTTCGCAACACCATATACCTCTTATATGGGTCTTATATCCTTTATGTAGAGAAGGATTAGGCCATACAAGGAAACACACAAAAAAAGTAACGAACCAATTATAATATACCCATTAAATAAAAACCATAAATACAACAATCTCCACCTCATCTTTTACTTACAGATAAGTGAGAGATGAGCTCCAACTCCAAATCAGTTGCACAAAGATGGTTGCCAACGTACCCCCCTCCCGAATGGATCAAGCCTAGTGAAATTCTTCAAAATGTCCGATTGGGCAATCAATCCTGAGCTCGGATGTTCACCAAACTCCCGCAGTAGATGAATTTCTAGATTGGTAGTACCTTTGTGAGCATCTAGTCACAACACCAACTGCTAATGTCTAGTATAGTACACACCATGACATACATCAGACTGTCAACTGTGCTAGCATAAGGAACCGATCGCATATCTTTCATTTTCTGATCATTTTTAGGACATTGATCTGAACTCAATTGAAAGTGAGATACAATGGGTAGATTCACCGCCTTGCTCGAGTCATCAACCTCGAATTTATCCAACACCTTCCAAATATAAGCTTCTTGAGAAAGCCAAACCCATCCAGTCGCATTATCCCTAAGAATCTCCATGTCATGAATTCTGCGAGCTTCACCTAACTCCTTTATTTTAAAATGTTTGGGCAGTTTATTCTTCGTCCTATCAACCTCAATCTGACTGTCAAATGCAATCAACATCTCATCAGCATATAGAAACAAGTAAATGAACTCATTGTTGGCTAACTTCATGAAAAATACACAATGATTATACTGGCTCCTCGTGTACTCATGTCCTCTCATGAACTGATCACTCATACAAAGACTTGTCCAGTTTACAAACCAAGTATTTTGATAATCCATATTCAGACGACTGCAACATGTAGATCTCCTCTTGCAATTCTCTGTGTATGAATGCAGTTTTCACATCGAGTTTTTTCAAGATTAAAATTTGTTGTGCTACAAGTGTTAAGAGAACATGGATTGAGGGATGTTTGACCACTGCGAGAACACTTGGTCATAATCAATCCATTCTCGTTACGCAAAGCCTTTTGTTACTAATCTTGCCCTGTACCACACATCAGCTCCACGAGATCTTTCCTTCTTTCCATACACCCATTTACACCCAATGGCTTTCCTTCCTGGAGGAAGTTTCACCAACCTTCAAGTACCATTTTTTCTGAAGAGACTCCATCTTTTCATTCATTGTCGCTCTCCAAAGATCACAATCTGGGTTCTCCACCGTTTCTTTGTAGTGACAAAAAATTTCTGTCTTTGTGGCTGAAAGTGCAAAAGCAATGTGATCCCTCAACCAAGTTGATTTTGGGACATTCTGGCGCCTGGTCTTGGTCCTAGTCCCGGTCCTGGCAATAGATTCCTTAGCAAGAATCTCAACCACAATATCTACTTTCACCTCCTCCTAAGAACTATCAACAGGCACCTCCTGAGCTGCAATTGAATCAGATGTCTGAGTCGAAGTGGACGAACTCAGTGAAACAAATGGAGTTGCATCAAACTCCTACTTTTGTTGCATATCAGTGGTCCCAGTAGAACTCTCCACCTGCTTTGAGTCTTGATATTTCAATAAATTTGTCTCGATGAATGTAACATCCCTGCTAATGACAAGCTTTCTTTTTGACAAATCATAAAGTTTGAAACCCTTGAATCCAAGCCTAAAGCCAATAAAGATAGTCTTTTTTGCATGTGGTTCCAGTTTATCATTTTGCACATGGTATTAAGCTGGACACCCAAACACTCTCATGTGCTCATAATCTCTAGCAGGATGTCCTGAACACATCTCTTTTGGGGTCTTCTCCCCAATAACTGCAGAAGACAAGACGGTTCACCAAGTGATAGACATATTCTATGACCTCAGCCAAATAGATTCTATCCAAACCAGCATTGGATAACAAACACCAAACTTTCTCCAACAAATTATGATTCATCCTCTCTGTCACCCCAATCTATTATGGTGTCTCTCGAACAGTGAAGTGGTGGTTTGTCCCAGCTCTCTGACACTCTTGCAAGAATGCATCCGAAGTGAATTCGCCCTCACTGTTTGATCAGATACACCTGTATTTTTTAACAATCTGAGTCTTAATTCACTTCTTCCAAGTTATGAAATTCTTCAGTACTTCGCTTTTGCGTTTCATTGTGTACACCCAAACATACCTGAAGTAATCATCAACAAAAGAGATTAAGTATCTTCGCCCGTTGAATGATGTTGTCTTCGTCGGGACCCAAACATCTGCGTGAACATATTCTAAAATACTATGAATGACGGTCTCAAAAGATACCGGTGCCATTTTACGAAACACAATGCTCAAAGAAATTAAGTTTGCAAGTACTTACTTCTTTGATCAATCATTTTTTCACCAAATCCTGAAGTGAAGCCTCTCCAACATGAGCTACCCGCATATGCCACAACATAGTGGCGTCAAAAGAATTATTAGCAACAACAACTGTTTCAGTTACTATACTATACTGAAGATAGTAAATGTTGTGATGACGAACTCTTTTCATAAAAATCATTCCTCCGCGACATATCCTCAGAATGTTTGTCTTAATAACTATCTTGTAGCCCTTGGACTCTAAAGCCCCAACGGACAGCAAATTTTTCCTGATATCTGGAACATAAATTCTCTAATAGTATCATCATGCATCTTGATAAAGATACTCCCTACAACAATAGTACGACAAGCTTGGTCATTACCCATAGTAACCGCACTACTATCCAGCTCCTTATACATACAAACCACTCTCGATAAGGACAAATATGATAAGTAGCACCTGTATCCAAAATTCAGCACAAGTCATCTACAAATAAACTATGAGAAAATGCAGATAACGATACATCTAAATTCGTCTCTTCACATCTTTCTACAATGATATTGGATTTTCCCTCAGATATAACTTCCTTTCTCTTCTCCTTCAGCTTCAAAAAATCATTCTTCCAATGACCACTCTCTAAACAGAAAGCACAATAATTTTTCCCAAGATTGTGCCCATGAGACTTGACCCACCTTTGAGAAGTATCGTCGCTGACATTTTTTTTTACCAATTCTTCTTCCTCTTCTTAGATATGTCAAGTTGAAGTGTGAGTGCTTCAACTGATTCTATCTTTGCATATTTTTTGTCCATTCGACGGAACTCATAAATCAATAGTGTCGTAGTCACTTTGTCAGAATTCAAGACCTCCTTCCCATGAAAAAGAGTGTCATAGAGAAGTTTTCATACTCATCCGGGAGCGAATTCAGCAGAAGAAGTGCCCCGTCTTCATCTCGAACATCCAAATTAAACGGATCTGCTAACAGCTTAGTGAAGTCATTCAAGTGCTCATCAATAGTAACCCCCTGTCTCATCTGAAATCTATAGAGTCGACGTTTCATATGAAGACAATTCTCCACGCACTTCGTGAGACATTAGTTCTCCAACGTCTTCCACGATTTCCCTGCAAAAGTCTCAATCATCACCACATATTTGATTTTTTGGGTTAAGCAATTTTATATCAAGCCACAAGCACTCATTTTCATCTTCAACCAATCTCTCTCTAATATCTCCTCAGAACATTCCTCGCCATCCAGGATTTTCTCCAAATTTAGAAAACACAGCGCATCCATCACCTCACATTGTCACATGTTAAAGTTCTCTTTGTTGTTAAATTTTATCATATTAATTTTGATGGGATGTGTAATCACCTGAATCGACTTTTCCACCGTCATAGCGAATGTTAAAGAAACTGACATCATATTATCAATTATTTTTGCTGCTATTAGAATATTTTCCCAGAAAATTCCTTTAGCAGAATACCTGAAAAAAATAAAAAAGACAAACAATAAAAACAAAATTTTAAAATAATAATTTTTTTTCTATTTCTCTTTCCTATTTTATGCTTTTTTTTTCTAAAAAGAAAAAAAATCTTTTTTTCTCTATTTTCCCAAACCAAAAATCACTTAAAAAAAGCTTTCCTTTTTTTTTCACGTCTCTTTTGCTTTCTTCCCAGAAGTTTTTTTACTATTTCCAAAGCTTTCCTTTTAGACCTTCTGCTCAGACCTTCCTTTTAAGCAGCAGAGGATTAAATGTGGGAGCGGGAGCTTTCTTTCCTTGGCTGCGGCAGGGAAATATACTGAAGGAATATTCGTTCAAGAGCAAGTAAGAGATTCCTTCCTCTAAATTCTTCTTCCCGTTTTGGACAGCGCCACCCTTCGGGAAGCCTCCTCCAGTAGACCTTGCGTTGGATTTAACCGGGCCGCGCCTCCTCCCGCCGGTCGCTGTAACAACCGCAGAAATTGCCACTAGTGCTGCTGGACCCACCAAAACCTCCGCCGGAATTCCATCGTTGCGATCCTTCTCAAGCTGCACACGCCAACATGTTGCACAAAATGCTGGCAACACATGCCAGATTTGCTGTCATTGACTGAAGAAGCGATCATTGGTTTGTAATTTCTCGAATAATGTCATTGCGATCAACATTTGTAATATCGTTGTGAT